TAGTAATAGTTGAACCAAGGAAACCCTCCAAATGTATTCTCGAGTGTACTAATTGCCAAAAAGGCTTGTATACAACAAAAGTATACCACCTATTAACTAGGTGTGTTAAACGCCCGGGAAACCCACTCTTATGTCAGAAATCAAAAGAAGTTTCTTTGAATTCGTTAGTTGTGAAAACACCCATCCAGCTCCGGATCTCAATAATATTTTTTTTATTAAATTAGAACGCCAACGGACTAAACAAATAGAATAAACTGGTATTAAAGGTGTATAATTGAAGTATGGCCCGCTTCCTGTTTGTCAGCATAATAGAGCAACGACGCGACGGTATAAGAAATGTGTAAACCGTGCGGCGTCCTTTCGTCGATTCAACGAAGACCAGGCGGCGGCAACTATGATACTGGACGCCGCGCCGGACGGTGTTATTCGGCCATGAGACCCTGGTACCATTTTCGAGACCCTCGGATAGGACCTACGATGCGTCGAGCATGACCACGACCACGGTTACCTAGATAACCGTGACCACGATGGACGCTGGTATCGTTTCGCCGAAAACACACTGGGATCTAAAACTGAGAAACCGAAAATTAGTTTTATTTAGATTTTAAGTGAGAAGGCATGAAGATGTCGGTAAGCTCTCGGAATATTATTATACATTTTTATCGACTTTTGATTTAGGCACAACAAATAAACGATTTAACTTTTTTCTCGGAAACGTTTACAGTTAAAAAATATACACATATTGCACGAATAGCGTTAGAAAGAGGTCACGATGATATTATCCTATTCCATTATCACTACCAATACGACTCTAATGAATTAATTCGGCATCAAGTAATTTAAATAAATAATACCTATACTTCAAACGGCTAACCGTTGTACGCGATTTTTGATTTTTTTTTATAACAAGTAGGTTCATAACTGCAATAATATTATAGAACAATAATAATATTAATACATTTTGATTTTAAAAATGGTGCCAATTGTTTGAACCATTATGAAAACTTTTATCGCGATCCCACCGCTATGAGCACGGTTGTCGGACGCCACACCCTATAAAATAATTCCTTTGTTTCGAGTGCGATGAATATTCTAACAAAATCGTACCAGGGTCCCATGTTCATTCGGCGTCAGATGTACGCAGCTCGGCTCAATGATAGGATAATTTTAAATTTGTTGGTTTTCAACTACTGAAGGAAAGTTAAAACATACCGTAATTTAAAATAAAAATATATTGTAATCGTATACTTTCCATTATTGGTAAAATAAAAGTTTTTAAGCGACGGTTTAAACGCATGAGAATGGTTGGAATATCAACTTGACAGTGCGCCAAGGTAAATTTCAAGAATACCAGTGTATGAATACCTACATGAACCAATTCATTTGGGTTTTCTCACCCTCATATCTCATCCTTCTCCTGAGATTGGCTTTTGAAATTTGAAACACACATTTAACTTAAGTATCTTAGGACACAGTACAAATTGACTATTGAGCCTTATCAAAGAGGGAGAAAGTTTACATTTTCGTTCAACATACGTTTTCAAAGTTTACATTTTTATAAGGACAAATTATAAGGCACTTACCATATTGATAGAAACCTGAAAATTAGAACAAAGGCACGTGTTAATACTAAAATTTAATCTGATGTCCATACTAGTATTAACACATTTTAAACATAAAACGAGCGGCATTTATTTAAAAACGCCACACCCCATAACATAATTTCTTTGTTTCAAATGCAACGACTATTCTACCAAAATCGTACCAGGGCCCCATGTTCATAGGCTATAGCTCACCGACTTAACAATCCGGCGTCCGATGTATGCAGCTCGCCGCAACGATAGGATAATATTAAATTTGTCGGTGTTCGTTTACTGTAAGTACACTATAGGAAAGTTAAAATTGTACCGTAATTAAAAATAAAAATATATTGTAATCATATACTTCCATTGTAGCTAAAAAAAATGGCCCCTCTTCACAAAGAAGATCATAAGAGTCGTACCAATACGACTCTTATGAGTTAATTCGGCGTCAAGTAATTTAAATAAATAATACCTATACTTCAAACGGCTAACGTTGTACGCAATTTTTTATTTTTTTTTATAACAGATAGGTTCATAACTACAATGATATTATAGAATAATAATAATAATATTAATACATTTTGAATTTAAAAATCGCGCCAATTGTTTGAACCGTTATGAAAACTTCTATCCCACCGCTATGAGCACGGTTGTCACTCCTTATAAAATAATTCCTTTGTTTCGAGTGCGATGAATATTTTAACAAAATCGTACCAGGGTCCCATGTTCATTCGGCGTCAGATGTACGCAGCTCGGCTCAATGATAGGATAATTTTAAATTTGTTGGTTTTCACCTACTGTAGGAAAGTTAAAACATACCGTAATTTAAAATAAAAATATATTGTTATCATATACTTTCCATTATTGGTAAAATAAAAGTTTTTAAGCGACGGTTTAAACGCATGAGAATGGTTGGAATATCAACTTGACAGTGCGCCAAGGTAAATTCCAAGAATACCAGTGTATGAATACCTACATGAACCAATTCATTTGGGTTTTCGCACCCTCATATCTCTGCTTCCTCCTAATATGGACTTTTGAAATTTGAAACATACATTTAACTTAAGTATCTTTGGACACTGCATAAATTGAGCCTTTTCAAAGAGGGAGAATATCAAAGTTTACATTTTTGTAAGGTACTTACTATACTCATCATTAAAATTATAAGGCACTTGCCGTATTGGTAGAAACCTGAAAATTAGCACAAAGGTACATGTTTATACTAAAATTTAATCTGATGTCCATACTCTAATGTGCAGTACTACAAGAATTAAGTTAATTTGGTGTCAAGTGATTTAAAGAATTTTCAAATTAATGAAATTAACACGATTTTTGAACTTTTTTTATAACAATTAGGTTCATAACTATAGTAATATAGACTATAGTATAACAGTATTAAAACACATTTTAAATTTAAAAACGAGCGACATTTATTTAAAAACCCCATAAAATAATTTCTTTGTTTCGAATGCGACGACTATTCTACCAAAATCGTACCAGGGCCCCATGTTCATAGGCTATAGCTCACCGACTTAACCATCCGGCGTCCGATGTATGCAGCTCGGCGCAACGATAGGATAATATTAAATTTGTCGGTGTTCGCTTACTGTAAGTACACTATAGGAAAGTTAAAATTGTACCGTAATTAAAAACAAAAATATATTGTAATCATATACTTCCATTGTAGCTAAAAAAAAATCGCCCCTCTTCACAAAGACTTTCAAATCACATATTGAACAATCTTGAAGGTCTTTTCACAAGTTTTTAATCGACGGTAGTGAAAATCGTGTCTTTAAAATTCAGAGTTATGCGATATTAGAGAAACCCTATTAAGTCTTGTGTACCCATTTTAATTATTTAAAAATGGTTATCGACCAGTCAAAATGTTCAGTAAATTATTCTTTAATAAAAAAATCAACTTAATTCACATGTTACCTACTATTTATACTTAAAAAGTTAATAAAGCTTTGCCGAATACTAAAAAAAAAAATTGAATGTTTTCTATAGGGTATTTTGTACTCAGTCTGCAGTCAGCTTAACTATAAATATATAATTAATTCGTAGTTAATAGTTATTACATATAATTACAATTTAGATAATTTAAACCAGTTATTTGATACAAAATAAAAATGGTGCCCCGCCAAAAGTACAACTTATAATTTCATGGTCGAAATGAGATATTTTCATAGGTTTAAGGTGCCTAAAGGTTGTAATAAAATTTAGCGTAAATATAACATTGGCATTTCCATTATTCTGTGTTCTTATTAAGTCTAATTTCCATTCTGAAAAATGTTATGAATTCCTCATTAATCATTATCTTTTCTATCGATTGTTGCATATTATTTTCCAATATTTGATAATAGATAAAAAAAAATAATAAGAAAAAATAGCCTTTATGGATTACGAAAATTGAAAAATAATTTTAAAAAAATTAAATATCAAAATAGACATTTTTTCCTGTGTGACTATTTATGTTCACAGATTTTATCATAAATGGTTTCAGTGAAAAGTTGCCTATATAATCACCGTGAGGCCCCATAAGAGTTTTTATATGTAGCTACTTAATTGCTTAATTTATTTAATATCAATATATTTATAATTAAAATAAAATACAAATTCAGTTTTACATAATTTTAAAAATGTGTATGAATTCAAAATAATTGTTTAACAACCAGTTCGATTTTTTAATAATATATTATAGTAAGTACATTTTTATTATTTTTTTTTTCTCTGGAATATCTGTTGTCTACTTAAATGTATCAAGTACAAAAGGTAGTACAATGTTAAGTTACAATTAACGATCAACAAATACTATTTAAGTATAACTATAAGATTTAGACCCTCGAAACTTTAGTCTATTTGCGCCTAATATATAACTTTACAATTTTTATTTCACCTTAAGTTAAAATTAATAGAAAATGTTGAATTATTATTTTGTATTGCCCTAAACTAAAAGACTTATGCTTTTGTATTCGACTCAATTTGGCCTCAAGATTGTCAAATGAAAAACAATAATACTATACCTACTAAAAAATGACTCGGTCATAGTCGTACATAAACATTATTACTTTATAGTAATTAATTAACGCTACTACAACATTTACTAATTATTTAAAATATCATATAATTACTATATAGGTAATCCATTTATTGGAATAAACTTTCACTCAAATTTTTAATTTTCCATGTTTCCGGGTAACTTTTCCAATTTTTCACGGAAAAGCCTTATTTGGACTATTACAAACATAAAAAAAAAAAAAAAAAAGACAAATCGGTTACGAACAGCATTACATTTTTATTTATATAGAAGATTATTTATAACCTTTCAATAATTACATCTATGATAATGAGCAATTTAAATACAATTTTTTTTTTTACAAAACTGAATGCTATTAACAGTTAATGTCAGAGATGAATTAAATAATTCAAAGTACATGACTAAACAATGTTGGGGTGGAAAAATAGTGTAAAGCCGTATCTAGTAATAAGGACTGTTCAAAAATCAGTTAAATACTTAATTGTATTAAATTCAACTATTACATTAAAACTAGTTTTGCTTTATTAGAATATATTCCCCTTTAAATTTTAAATGGCACATGTTATAAACTAAATACATTATTAAATCGATGGTAACAATGCAAAAGTACAATAATTCTTCAACAGTAAAAAAATAATTTTGTTTGTTAGCATAAACGACACGACAAAAATTTAATATTACTTGATAGGTAAAGTTGTTAAAGCAAAATAGAAAATTTAACACAGATCGTAAAACAAGTTTGGTATACCACGTTGGTTTTTACCAGTATATTCAATAACATATTCAACACACAAATAAGTACCTAAAATAAATTGTACATTCATATTAGATTGCGACAATGGAAATAAGGTTCTGTTAAATAAGAGTTTGGGTCTTAAACCAGTTTACTTTATACATTTTTTTAAAAACATGATTTGTCTAAATGTTTAAAAAAGACAACAATTCATCAAAATTGTTAATGTCGTAATGTAAATTAATTAAAATTAACAGTCGGTAATTATCATATTTTATCACTGCGTACAAATGCGATCGATTAACATAGGTGAAAATTGATCGGGGGTGAACTAATAGATCTTCATCAGCACCGACAGACTTATGCACACATTGCATTTAAGGATGATTCTTGTGTCTCCTAAAAATGAAAAATTGTTTATAAATAGTGTTTGTGGACAATATTACATAATCAAATTTCTTTGAATTAAATTAAGTATCTAGTAACCAAATATTAATATTATATTATCGTATTAAAATGTTTACCAATTGAAAGAGAACTCTATAATTTAGGACATATCCATGTCTTTTTATATGACATCACGGAGCCATTGTAGAGTCCATCTTTAAAGCAATGAAGATAGACTCTGCAATGTCGGCACATACAAAAAGACAGAGATACATATAAAAATTATCAATTTAATACTATATTTTGTAAACATTATGGATTAGTCACCTTTGCACAAATTAAATGGCATTTTAAACTATTTCATCGTGTTTAACAAATAAACACGTATCTTTTACGCTTTGCATAATTTGTTGTAGTTGAATAATTACAGTGACACCACTATTTGGTAATAAATGTTTTCTAAGTCATAAAAGACATAGTTTATCATACTTGTATCCAGGTCGCTCACTTCCAGCTCGTATGGCTCTTTGTCCAGCAAACGCTGTATAAACTGGAACGGTAGTAAATTAATCAGCACCGTACGTCAAATTAACCAATCCACAGTCAATATGACTGGATCGTAAAGAAAGTATAAATAAAGCTATTTAAATAATAATCCGAAATTAAATGATAAAATATGATCAATTACTAACCATTAACGATTCCATAAATAATGTTTTAACAGATGTTGGTAAAAAAAACGTATAAAAAAGTTCTCCGAGCAGGTCAAGGGCGCTTATAATCGTTTATCTTTTTCATCCATGCATCAGAACAGGAAACAGTTTTATCCTAAAATAAAAATGTATGATATTTTATTGGCCTTTGGCTTGAACTGATGTTTAAAAATATTTAGTTACAGTTTAGATTGTTCGATAAAATATTTAAGTATTTGGTTCTAAAAAAAAATGATTAAACAGAAATATCAATACTTCTAAATGTAATTTATTAAAACCACAATATTAAATAGACTCAAAAAGTATCAGGGGCATACAATTTATACAATAATAAATACTTGTGTGTTACCTCTCAAGAAAAATTATTTAGTTGGATACAATCTTCTTGGTGATATTGTCATCAGCGTTATCACTAAAATTTGAAGTTGTAAAATGTTTGTTGTTGCAGACAGTAAACTAGCTGTAATGTTGGCCGTTTCTAAAAAATAAATGATAGATTAAATAAAAAAATTAATCAGTTTTCATATAGATTAGTTAAATAACATTTCTGTATTATTACTTTCAACTTTTTTTCAAAATACCCATTTAAATATCTGTCAATAAACTTCTCTAGTTTACTTTGCCGAACAGTTGACTAGTAAGAGTAAGAGATTACTTATCGTTGCATTCAACAAAATACCTTATCATATAATTAAAAAAAAAAAAGATGAATAATAACAAATACAATCATTTTGTAGTGATAACACTTTACCTTAATTTTTGTATTAGGTTCAGAGCAGTTATACAATCTTACTGAACAGCCAACAGTTGACCGAAATTGGTTTTTTTGTTTCTCGTGCTCCACAGCTTGCCAATGTCTTAGCACTCATTTTGCGAAGTACTAATATGATGATTGCTTCCTCGTATTGACATTAAGCACTATCAATAAAAATTAATATTTTATTAATTTGTAATTATATTTTATTATTGATATTGTTCCTTCAGAGAAATCTTGATCTGATGCTTTGTATTTGCAGATTTCTCGTAGAAGGTTATGTAAAATAAATGCATAATTATTTTCTTTGACTACCTGTGATACTCAAGTACTCTTTCTGCTTTCAGTCGATCTCACAAGTATTGATGTTTGAAATTTCTCATGTAGATATACATTAAGTTACGATACTTTGTAATCAGGACCTAATTACCTTGTAAATCCAGTGACGTTTATGGCTTGTAAACAAAAGTTGAATAAAAGGTCAATTCAAAATTTGAATCTTCTTCTCCGTACTCAGGTTTTCCATCTGTAATTATTACCAAAAAAGTTTAACAAAATGTAAGTATAAATTTAAAAAAAATAAAGCTCAATTGACCACAAATGTGTTAATATAAAATAGTTTTTACTCTTTTATAATTTCAATTGTATATATTTTATTACAAACAAATACAAGTTTGTTTACCGTAGACAGATAGTTTTGATTTAAAAAGAATTAAAACAATTTGTTTATACCTTACTGGTAACTTGAGTTATCCTATCGACTAGTGTAAAAATTAGTAGTACTAAATGCAGTATAATAATATTAACCAACCTTTGTTTTTGAGTCGATATCCAATCATTTTTACACGACACTAATACAATTGATTTACATAGAAAAGTACTAATAGCAAGAACTGTAGAAGAACTACTGTCTACTGTGTAAGTATGATGAATATTATACATTTAGTCATTTGTTTTCTAAGAAAAATAATTACAATACTGGTGGGTGCCTTGTGAAGTTCAATCCTACAGTAATATTATAGCTGAATAGTGATTATCGATTTGAGATTATTATCAGTCACATCTTATCAAATCTTATCAGTAATAATAACACAGAACAAACCGAAGGGAAACTTATCTATTTAGTTTATGGGATAATGAGCTTTTCTAAGAATTCTAAAAAACGTTTGATTTCAGGTAATTAAAAAAATAATAAAATATGTATCAATTTGCCCTAATTATAGCTTTTAAATAAAAAACGAGGCCTAAGTTTAATTAAATAAGTAAATACATTTAGTAATTTAAGGTTTAAAATTCAATACATTTAAGACTTAAAATGCAATTATATTTTACGTTTTATATCTGAATAAATCTGTGTTACTTTTTTTAATGAAAGTTTTGAAAAATATATTATCGAGTATGTAACCCTGTTTATGTAATTGGACTTAATACCTTTTCCCAAGCTCACCGGAAATTTAACAATTTATTATATTGCCTAAAAATGTATGTTCTTAATAATTTTACAAAATATTATTCAAAAACATAAAAGATATTATAAATATTTCCTATAAATAGTTTGCAAACGGCCATAACACTTCTCTTCAACTTCTCACCCAATTTTCTATATAATTATAGATACTAATAATACCTATGTACCATTTATCTTTTCTGCTTCTTATATAAACAATTACCATAGATTATACTATTACTATAGGATAGCCGATAGGAATATTTCGTTCATGTAATTTTATTTCTGTTATTATATAAATATATTAAAAATTTGGTTAACTATGTTTGAAAAAAAAAGTGTAAAAGCTTAAAAGTCGATATCAAAGTGAAGGGTAAAAATAATAAAACAGCCGTGCTGCAATCAGAAAGTGGGGATCATAGCCAAACGCATTGTACAATACAATATAAAGGATAAACAATAAGTGAATAAACACAGTGTAAAATACACGTGAACCGATTGTAAAAACAAACTCGGAAAATATTAATAAAGAAAAAAAAATGTATTTATCTATCCGTTGCTTAGTGACGACCGCTAGAAATTGCATACATAGATGTTTATATTATACACGTCTGAATTTAAATCAATTATAATAATTTATTATAACAATGATGCAACGCCGTCGATTTTATCAGCTCGTTTTCCACTTGTTCGTTTCGGTAGGAACCACCAGACGAGCCGTGGCCGAAATAGCACAACGCGCTTCTTATCAACAACGGGTACAGGTCATGACTTCCATGACTTCTCCTCTGGTCACGGCGGGATACAAGTAAAACGTCCCGGACTTCCGGCAAACTTCAACTTACAAAACAGATTGTTCGCTTCATCGTCGGACCAAACCCGAGTTTGGTTTTTGGGCTTTAAATCGTGCAGAGCACATTTGAACGCCAAAGGTGGTATTGTTTTCAACTGGTAGGGATATTTTCGCATCCGGTCTCGGTTCACCGTTTCCACAAAGCCATAATCAATGCTGTGAACCGTCAGCCACTTCTGTCAGTTTTCCTCGTACCCGTTTACATTGATTACATCTTACATTGATACCATTGCGTTGGTTCGATGCGAAAACCGAGTAGACTTGGCAATTGTTGTGGCCTATGTTGACGCTGATGTGCTTGGTGTTTGCGTGCTTGGCCAGCTCTTCTTTGATCATCGACAACACATTGCTGTTAGCTTGGAGCTGTACATAGAAGTCTGACGGCGAGTTCACGTCCGTCACTATAACCGGCTCCACTACGTTCCGGGGATATTGCTTTGACAGCGGTTTTGTATTACATCTAAAATATTATATTGTTATTATTGCAATTATTTTTAACCAACAATAATACATGTTGTATATTACATTAGAATTTACACAAATTTATTTATTCGTCTATTATAGGTACAAATGAATTGGAAAAAACAAAACTTAAAATGTAATCTATATTATTTTAATATGTAAAAAAAATTGAAGTTACGAGGTTGGTTCGCATTACCAAAATTTACCACTGCTGTTTTAATTTTGGATAACAAATTTAGAACATAATTTATTACTTTTTATAGGGTTTACTTGAGTAAGTCATGCATTAGGCAGCCTGTTGGACAATGCACACATGACTGAAATTTTGAAGCACACCTCAGCCTGCCGAATGGGTTTTAATTTTTCGCTGTAAAACTTAACATCCCTTATATAGAGTATATCTACTTAGGGTTAAGCTCAATGGCAATTAAGGCTTGATCATAAGGAGGATCATAAGAAGTATAATACATAATATGGATTATGTATTAGAATATAAAACATAATATAGGTATTTATCTGGTATTTGTAATTTTATTAAATGCAATAACATAATAATTAACAATAGGGTAAGTTAATCGTACCCATCGTACATATAGTATTATTGAAATACAAGCTTTTTCAAACATAGTTAATCAAAATTTAAAAATATTTATAGAATAACAGTAATAAAATTGAAGAAAATGAAATATTCTTATTCCATAGTGATAGTATAATCAATGTTTATTAATTGTATTAAGAAGCAGAAAAGATAAATGGTACATAATAATAGTATCTATAATATAGAAAATTGGGTAAGAAGTTGATGAGAAGTGTTATGGCCGATTGCAAAATAATAATAGGAAAATATACCTAATAATTTTATAAATATCTAAATAACACATCTTTTTTCACATATTGATATTGTGATTATGTACCTTAAAGGAAATGACAATAAGTATAGAAAGAAATCATCGAAATTATCATTTGTTAGAAATTCGCCAAAAACTGTAGCGGATCTTTTAATAATTTGAAGTTTAAAATTAAATAATATGCATTCAACTTGCGTTATACATTTTATTTCAACCTTATGTTTACACAAAATGTTAACGATTTATTTTCTTACATTATAATATACAATATATTTTCAACTATTTTTTATATAGTTTTCTATAATTTTCTATATTATCTTATAGGAAACAAGTTGTTTTTCATGTTGTAATATAAATTAATTGCAAACAACTGTAGGTATCATTCATTATTAAATTTTAACATTATACATTACAAAAACTACTATTACAGAAATATTATATTTATTTTTCGTAAATAAGTTGGGTTTTAAAAGTATTTTGTCATGTTATTTGTGTACTCAAATGTTTGGAACTATTTATTTTCTTGCATTGTAAAACCTAGTATCACAGTAAAATACCCAAAATACCAAAAAAACGTGAAAATACAAAGCTAAAATATCATAGCTCCCAATTATATGACAAAAATAATTAAATTTAGATTTTTTACATTATTGGATATAATATATATATAATTATTGAAACATCTAGTTTCTACCGTGCAAGAATTAAATTAGGTCAAACATTTAAATATAAAAAAACTGCAAAACAGAATATGTGCCTAAAAACAACTCGTTTTCGATAAAAAAAAAATAAGTAATAAAACTACACAAAATTGTTTTTGTAAAATAGGAAGATTCATGTAATATTCAAAGTTTGTGATACTTATAAGTCCTTACTATTTGTTTAAATTACAATAGTCGCTGTGAAAACGATAAATGATCTTACAAAACTTGCCTTATCTCACTCCACCAAGCACCTGCACACAATACATTTATAGTTACTATAAAATAACGTTCTACAATACATTCAAACACAAGCATCAAAACAAAATTCGCTATAACAATTTTGCTCGTATTTTCATTTATTTACACTGCCTCAATCAAAGCATATAACAATTTACTTTCAATTAAAAAAACTACAATAAAACTATTCACGTTTTCTTGTAAAAATTGAAAATTCTTATTATGTTAAAACATAATAGATTATAATTAAAATCCATTAAACAAATGCTCTGAATAAGTTAGAAATTTGAAAGTGATTTTATCAGAGAGGACTAGTACAGTAGAGTATAGGCACAATGGAATCAAAGCATAGAGGGGACGGAGAGGTCACAGGTCTATTGGAATTATTATAAAATGCATAAAATCACTTTCAAATAAACGCTTTGATACTTTGACCCTTGAAATATTATTTGTAAATTTCAACTCGATCCGACTCGTTTTCTCTAAATGATAGCCAGTAAAAGTTTTAACTTTTAACATCGTATGTTTTTTTTTCAAATTTTAACTGTGGGGAAGTAAAATATTTACAACATTAAACCCCTCTTTCCTCAAGTACCAAATAGATGGAATTTGTGATTTATAGAGTTGATACCCGAAGGAATTGGTCCAGTATTAAAAAAAATACAGTCTATACAGACAAAAAAAAAGCACACAACTGTCATTTTCGTTCACGTTCCTCAAAAAAAAGAATTCGTTAATTTTCCTCGTTCCTTTAAAAATAAAGGAAGCAGTTTTGTTATATCAAATGCATTAACTATAATCTTATGGTGAATTAATTAACATTTAATTTAAATAAATGTGTCTATTATTTCTAAAATACCACACACAAAGGCTAAAGTAACAAAAAAAAAGGCACCTTCAATAAACTTGAACGAAACAGTATAATACGTAGAACAAATACATTTTGCTCCATTAATAAATTATTAATAATGACAAAGAACAATTACATTTTATTTGTTCCGGGACAAATATCAAAGGAACGAGTTCCGGGTATTTGTTCCGGAACGAATATCTTGAGGAACGAGTTCCGAGTATTTGCTCCGGAACGAATATCTTGAGGAACGAGTTCCGAGTATTTACTCCGGAACGAATATCTCGAGGAACGAGTTCCGGGTATTTGTTCCGGAACATAAAAGAGAAATGAGTCAAATAGAAACGAATTCCGAACCCCTGCTATTCTATACCTACAACTATTATAGTATTTTTTCGAAAGTTGAAATAGTGTCATATTATTAATTTGTATTTTAGTTATTAATTTTTAAATTAATACAAAATCAGAAAAAGAACAAAACTAATGCACCAATAAATACCGATTTTGAATTACAAGTGATTTAAAACCCTTCAACATTATCGGTGTCAATATAATAATTTGATTAAAATGTGTACAACATATTACGGGAATAAAGATGGTACCTCGTAGAGATCGGTTTAACATA